GCCAGGGCTAACGTTGGCCCGTCTGCAGCGGCCAGGGCTAACGTTGGCCCGTCTGCAGCGGCCAGGGCTAACGTTGGCCCGTCTGCAGCGGCCAGGGCTAACGTTGACCCGTCTGCAGCGGCCAGGGCTAACGTTGGCCTAACGTTAACCTGGCGAGGACATGAGTCCATACTTACGTTCTTGTGAATTGAGAAGACTTAGATTTATTTTGTCATTTTGCATACCTGAGTGTATACCAAAAGAGAAACGGCCAATCTTGGCAAATGGGAGGAACCACAAATGTAAAGGTTAAGAGAAAAGTTGTTGATGGATTTATTTAAATAACAGAATTCGGAATGCACGTGGTTTTTAATACATCCACCAACATTTAGTCTGAGCTGTAGTCTATCATCCATAAAACAGCTCAGGTACAAACTGAAGCCATTATGTCTATAGAGAGGCCCAAAGGTGCCAATCTTCCCTCCATCCAGTGATAAACGATGAAGCAATAACCATATATATCACCATAGACACCCGATCAATTAGTAGATGATTGATGGGATAATCTATAATTTCACTGAACATCTCGGGGATGTAGGCAGAGGAAGGGATTTAGCCTTACTAAGCAAAGTTGGTGGTCAGGCTAACCTGTTTTTAAAGGTTTTGTTTAAATAGGGATTTCCCGGGTCCCTATTTCAATATGTTTAAAAATTAAAAGATTAATTGTGGATAAGAACTAATTTAGACAGTTGCAGGGTTAAAAGAAGAGCTGTTAACATCTCTACATCCCAGACATGTTGGACACTTATTGGTTAATCTGCATTCTCATCTATCGCAGGAAATGGTGCAAGTGATTCACATGGAAAGATGCGTTCAGGAGCCAATTAACAGTTGGTGATGCAAAGAATGCTTTTCAATGTGATGATGCAAATTGGATGTTTAGAGATAGCAAAATGGCGCTAGATGTAGTAAATGTGGTTAGAGCGAAACAGAAGTTTGCGAGTTCAAAAACTGAACTTTAGTCTGTTTGTCTCGCATGAAAATAATCTGGAACTGGTTGGGGTTGTGATGTAGGGTAGTGGAGCACAGCAGAAGCCAAGCTCCACCTCCCCAGCAGTCCTCGATACCGAGTCCTGGACAGTCCTGGCTAACCGGGAGTGGATGTGGCCCACCCAGGGACGCCATTATCCATACCAGTGTTCAGCTCTCTGTTTTAAATCCTCTATATAATGGGTAATTTGGATGTAATTCTGCTGTGTTTTCCCTGCAGATTAGTTGAGAATCATTGAGAAACTCTGTGGCGTTTTGTTTGAATGCACCGTTATGTGAGGGTTTCTAGAACAAGCAGCCACCACACAGATAGTTGGCTCTTGCAGGCTGTCTCTCATAAACACTAATCAGCCTCACAGCTCTGAAACTAAATTGGAATATTAAACTTTCAGAAACTCATTAAATCTATTTTTATCCAATAAAAAAAAAACAAAAACAAAACTCCACATGTTATTGTACATCTACTTAATGTCTGTATGCTGTGAGTGCTGGAACCAAAGACTAATTATTTGATTGCAGCACAATAATGGCCCAATGCAGCCCATTCTAATTAATAATGATATTAAACCTTTGAAGGAGTTTTCATTATTAGTTTGGAGAACATAAGGTGTGCATCCAACAGTGGAGACTTTTTCAGAGTAAAAAATAAAAATGCAGATGTTTATTATTTTAGCATCTCATTAGAGAGGCGGATGGAGAGACGGTTCCCCACAGAGTGAGCTTTTAATCAGTGCTGCCGCCCCCACAGATGGCTGCAGAGGGAATTCTCTCAGCTGCACACTTGTTGAAGATCCTTCAGCCTCCGTGGAAAGTTCTAATTTTCCACATGCTTGAATATGAAGCTTCTTCACTATAAAATCTGCCTTAAACAGTCCAACACCATGGCAACACCAAGAGACCAGCAGGAGTCAAACCAAGAACCCGGTGCTGCTCAGTAGAACCCGACTCCTGGCTTCGAAAGGTTCATTTATTTCAGGGAAGTATCACTTAAAGTGATACATTTCAAACATTTATCTTTCCTGTGATGATTCTCTGGCTTTGATCCCTCCTACTGGATTGGCCAAAGTCACATGGGGGGTGTTGAGGGTCTTTAGGGGTTTCTAATTGGTCGTTGACTCCCTAATGTCTAAGACCACCTCCTCTGTTGAGAGAAGGTTTTTCCAGGTTAAGCCGGGCGTACACTGTACGATATTGTTTAATCTTCATATTCAGCTGCAGCTCAAACTGTACGACAAAACCGCAGGTTTAGAAGTTCTCAGCTCACGATGTTTGTTTTCATGCTGTGTGGCCCGACGCTCTGATGCGATCTACCTGCTCGCACTGCACGTCTAAAAACCACTCGTCAGACTCGGTGCCCAGAGATGGCGCTACTCGGACTCGTCAATCTGGAAGATGAAGCGCTTGTTTGCACATGCTCTGCTAAATCGGCTGGTAGCTCTGCTTCAACAGCAGGATTTACCCACCAATGCCTTACGATGGCCGACTGAATGTCAAACGTTTGATTTTCTGCGACCTTATGATTCCCGATCGGGTGTTCATGAGAGGCTGGTCGCCCCTCGTTACCCTCTGTATTCTACACGACCAAGCTAGAACTCAGCCCGATTGGAAAAATTCTCACACTACTGATTAATTGGAAAAAAAGCAAAATGATCATTAAGTTTATGCCCGGCTTTAACAAAGATGGCTTCCTTAACCCCTTCCTCAAACCATCGGCTCTCATTGTCCAGAATATGGACGTTGTTGTCCTTTGACGCGTGTCGTTTAGCCTTAAGACTAAGGAAAGACGCAAATATGTTAGATTTACAATTTTGATCTACAGTATTGGAGAGGTGCAGCAGAGTGTCTGCAGTAGGGGGCGGGGCATATCTGCGTTAAGTAGGAAACACACGCAGACGACCTGGTTTCTGAATATAAACCAGCCTTAACACCACCTCCTCTGTTGAGAGATGTTTTTTCTAACCCCTCTATCAAACATCAGTCTTCCTTTGCCAGATGTGGACGGTTCTGTCCTCAAACGAGTGTCCGTTAGCGTGTAGGTAAATGGTTGAGTCCTGTCCGGAGGAGTCGGACCTCATGTGTAACATTCATCTTTATTAGTTCTGATTGTTTTGACTTCCAGCGAATAAGAACCCGATGTTCTGTTTCTCTAAACATTCGAACGTCGTATCGGACCAATAAACACGACAAATGAATGCATAGACGTTGGTCTACTGTGGCGTTTATCCATGTAGGGTCCAATGTTGGTGGTTCTGGTCTTTTTCATCGTCATGTTGGTTAAACCTTGAAGATTCCCTAATAGGTTAGCTTGTTCCGGTTTACTGCTGTTAGTAGGATCATCCTTCCACCTAACTTTCCACCCGTTAGCTAAGGTTTACCATAGGTTCTACCTTCACGCTGGGCGGGTCACTTCCTGTTTGTGGCTGCTATGCTAATCCATCATTAGAACAGCTACATGCTAATGCTACATACTGAAATGTGTGAGAACTCATTCTGTGTTGTGTCTTTCTGCTTGCAGGTTCCCGTAGACGGACCTGGACTGTATACCGGCCCGGTCTTCACTGCCGCCTCTACCGGCCCTCTTTTCTCCACGTAGAGCTGCTTCCTGTTTCCTGTTCCGCCTGGAACCGAGCCGCTCGGCTGATTGTATTGCATGTCCCGTGCGTTTGTAAGTTCTGTAAATATGTACAGCGAGTCTCGTTTGAATCTTTTCTCAGTCCAGACTAGCGGAAGCCTTCTAGCCTCCTGATGTTGCAGTTTTATCCTCCGAGGCTTTTAAAGATGATCAATGCCTTCATTCTGATGTTATGCAAACTGAAATAAAGATTTTATTTATGTAACCTGGTCAGTAACCTTCAGCCTTGAGTTTTCTGGGTGGAAATATAAAGAAAAACTAGAGGGAGACGCTGAGGGTGGGAAGAAACGTCGAGAACGGCCACCAGAATGCAGAATGGATGTACGGCTGCTGACCTACGGACCTACTGAGACCACCTTCAGCCGATCCGACCCACGGCTGGTCTTCTGTGATTGAAGTTAGCGGTTTTCCAGGAGGAACTAGTTTCTGGGGGTGCAGCAGAGGCTGCTTTTTATTTATGAGGAACCGTCCTGTTTCTGAACGGCTCTAAAAGTAGGCAGACTGCCTCGTGCTTTAAGGAGCCTGAACGTGACATTTAAATTGGTGCTGGATGAATAAACAGCCAAATTCTTAGTAGTTATAATTTTCCCTTTTTTTAACAATAAAAAGGTTTTTCTTTGTTTTTTTGCTTCCTAACTGTGTGTATTCCTTTTTGCAGTTCATGATCTGCCCTGTAGGGGCGCCATGAACACTCTTTACTGAGATGGGACTACAGGGAGGTTTCTGGATGAAACACGGTAGCGGCAGCATCATGGTTATTCTGTTAAACTGCTCCAACCGCTGAAGGTTTCTGTTCCACCTGAACAGAAACCTGAATGTTTGGTGATTTACCATCCGCCAAAACGTACATGGAAACAGAGTTTTATGGGTCCCCAAGTTCCTGGGGGCCCCATAGAACTCTGTTTCCATGTATGGTCAATACAACTATTCCTTATTTGTGTGCATTAATGATGTTTTTGATCAAAATCCTTAAGCTAAATGCCATCAGAACGCTGATAATATTAAGTCTGTCGCAGCCCCCCCCCCTTCAGTGTCCACCATATTGGATCAGTCCATTTGCTGCACATGTTCAGAAAGGTCCAAACAGACAGCAGCAAACCATTTGAAAACAAACCATGCAAAGAGCAGTGTTGCCAACTTAGCGCTTTAGTCGCTATATTTAGCCACTTTTCAGACCCCTCTAGTATGGAGGACTAATTCTGCCATAATTAAAAATACATACAGAAAGAAATGGCTTTATATAAAAATGCTTGAAAAAGTAGCTAATATGAATTTGAGTGCCTTTAAATGTGACAAAATAATAAAAATAAGATATCTTCAACAATCGATCAACTATTCATAAAAAATATATTTTAACGTCCACTTTCATTTTTTTTTCTCTTCTCATATTTACCCTGACTTATTTTCAACCCACTTGTTTTCTGTATAATAAAAGTGGAAGTTAAAATATATTTTTAGATGAGAAATTGTTTCTTTTGTCACATTTAAGGTCAGACACATTCGTATTATTAGCTACTCTTTCAAGCAATTATATATTATTATTATTAAGCCCTTCATTTTGGTGACAACATATAAAAGCAGCAAACTCTGCCCTCCAGAGCAAGCAGATTGGTAATGGGTCTGTTTAAAGTGTTGTCTTCTCAATTCAGAGGGCCCCCTGCCTGTCTTTGCCTAGGGCCCCAAATTTCCTAAATCCAGCCTTGCCTAGAACTACACATCATTTGAAGCAGAGTTCGGTTCTTCTGACCTTTTTTTTCCATTTCTCTACAGGAGTAAAGCAAGCAGGCGGTTCTTTCAAAAATCAGTTGTGTTTTCAAAAAGCAATTCATTTCTTTTTTTTTTTTTATGTTGTTTTCTCTTGAAAGAATGGTCATCTTCCGAAAAGCTGTTTTTTTCTTTTTTAAAACAGTTGTAATCATTCAAAAAGCAGTTTTCTTTTCAAAAATCAATTGTTTTCTCTTAAAAACAGTTTTCTTCCAAAAAGCAGTTATTTGTCTTTAAAAGCAATTGTTTTCTTTTAAAAAAAAAAACAGTTTTTTCTTGAAAAAACGGTTAACCCTCAAAAAGCAGTTTTTTCTTTAAGAAAAATTTGTTTTTTTTTAAAAAAAATCAGTTGTTGTGTTTTGAAAAAACAATTGTTTTGTTTTAAAAAACAGTTTTTCTTTCAAAAAGCAGTTTTTCTTTAAAAACAATTTTTTTCTTTTAAAAAAAGTGAAACTAACAAACCATAACTTCTCTCCACCTCTCTGTAGAATCTCTACTAAATATCTAATTTGATTGGGTGACTTTTTCCATTTGACTGGAAGCAGCGTTGCTGTTCTGAAGGGATACAGAAAAAGTCCAGATCTGAGTTAAAGATTAGGGTGATGGGAAGGAGCCCTTCTGACCCTACAGTTTAAAAAGTTAATCAAATAACCAGCTGCTAAACATTTCCACTACATCATCTCCATAGATTTTGTTAAAAAAAAAACATTATTAAAATTAAATAATGAAAAATTAAAATATTTTGAGATATCGAAATCTGTCCTTAAATTCCAGCCAAACTCATTTACACAGTAACAGATAAAAACCTTTAGATAAATCAAACATTACCGCCACATATCTGACTCAGTAACCATTAAAACAACTATTTTCATTCATTTCAGACGGAACTATTCACAGACTGGATTATATTAAACTGAACTTCCAATTTTCACCACTGTTCGGCGCCAAGTAACCTTTCCTCTGATCACGGCTTGCTTGGTCTCGCAATGAATCCTGGGTAAACCAAGAATACCGAGGATACATCGGACCCGTCCTTCAAATCGGGTAAGAAGAAGGACGCATTTTAAGGCCGCATAACGAGGAGTCTTGGAATCCGACCAGACCTCGACGTCACGCTATGACGTAATCGAGCGACTAATCTGGCTTTCATCAGCTACCCGATCCGTGCCGGTAGTTTTAAGGAGTTTTACCCTCCTTAGAAGTAGTTAGCGTACTAAACTATAATGTGTTTAAGGTTAATAATGTATTTCCTAAGAAAATAAATGCTTTAAAATCCTTCTAGTCTTTTCCTGATCTGTACCCGTATTCTGTCAGTCCAGCATACCTATAATAATTCTTTAGTCGTGTACAAAAAAACCACACAAATGAAATTTTTATTTGAGGTAGTTTAAAGTACATTTTTCGTACATATTAAACAGGTATTGACTGTAGGTATGCGGGTTTGACCGAACACCAGAAATGCTACGCTACTTCTGAGAGCTAACTTTTTCGGCTTTGGATTAAAACATAAATCTAGTCTTTTTTTTTTAATTTGTTCCTTTTCGTGATAACGTTATGGTATATAGTGCGTAACCTAAAGAAAGAAACAACTAAAATGAAGATAAACATGGTTTAATCATTTATAGCCAGACTGCTCTGAGCATGTCCGATTACGTCAGAGAAGCAAACTGTAGGAAAAGTCATAAAAAAACGATTGTATTAGCATTCTTTAGTGATTTAAGGATAGAATTACATTATTTATGGCCACCTGGATGTATATCGGATGGAACGGTTCCGGTACGGATCAGGTGGTGACCTCTGGCCTCTCGGAGGATAACGACTCTAATTAGCTTCATCTCCAGGTTTGGATCTGTTGTTCTGGGTTTGAATTACTCTTCCTGGACTGGGAGCGAGCGGACCAGAGATTACGGAAGGAAAGAGCAACTAGCTGGGTAGCATGGATGCCCTGAGTGGTTCTCATGAAGCCGTCAGAGTTTCCTCCTGGTTTCATCCTGATCTGCTTCATCTAAATCTGCCGAATCAGAGGAAAGAAGAAAAGCTCGTCTTTAGTCTCTCAGTCTAAATTGATTATTATTCCACGTTAGCGTGGCGTCGTCTGTCTGTCAGTCTGTCTGTCCGTCCGTCTGTCAGAGAACAGTTCGATTCAAACAGGCTCATGGGGGAGGACGGCTTTCTAACCTCACAGCAGGAATCTTTGATCCGCAGCCATTGCTGTGATCTCCTAGCGGGAGAGAAGAAGTCATCAGTTTCCTTGTAATCATTTCAGAGCCTCTGATGTCGGACAGAGTCAATAGGATCAACTGGATCAGGGTAAACGGTTCTGCTCCGGTTTTACCAACAATAATGCTTACATCCTAACATCACCGGAACAAAGTAGAGTTTTTATTTGAAAATAAAGCCCTCAAACCCTAAAGAAATGTTTTTAGCTACTTTTCAGCTTCAATCTTTCTTTTAGTTTTAGATTTTTTTATAATATATATAAAGTGCTGGCCCCTTTGCAATTTATAGCTGATGTTTTTCCTTTGAATAGACCATTTTTTTCTCTGAGAACCTAAAACATTTTTCCTCAAAACTGACAGTTTTTCTGAGAACTGACAATGTTTGGTTTCCTGAGAACTGAATTTTTTGTGAGAAGTGACGTTTTTCCTGAGAACTGAAATAATTCCCAGGAACTTACCATTTATTTCTCTGACAACCGGCAACTTTTTTCCTCAAAACTGACAGTTTTCCTGAGAATTTATGTTATTTTCTGGGAGAACTGACACATTTTTTCCAGAGAACTGATATTTTTCCTCAGGACTAAACTTTTACGCTGAGATCTGGCAGCATATCATCAAAAATTATGATTATCCTGAAAACTGGAATTTTCCCTGAACGTTTTTCCTAATACCTGAAAAATACAGTTTTTTTTCCAGAGCACTGACAGCCACCGATCACTATTGTCCTTTTGCATCTTCAGCGTTATCTAGATGAATTCATTTGCAATAAATTCAGAGGAAACTAAAGGGCTTATCTTTTATTTCCATTCCTTGTTGCACTTTATGGCATCAAAATGTAAAGATCCGTGTTTGATACGAGAAGCTTGTAGAATATGCTGGAAAGTTCTGGCTAAAAAACAAAAACCTGAGCTTGAATGATTTAAATGTGGAGTACCGCAAGGTTCAATGCTCGGCAGTATAAAGTTTTTATGCAAATGCGATCATTGTCCATCTCAGAAAACTTACAGTTAGATATACTGTATGTATTTTTTACCAATATTACATCTGCTGTTTAAGTGAATAATTTCTACTAATTTTGTGTTATTTATTAATCTTTGTTTTTAATAAATAGACCTATTTGAGCCTTTAATAAAGGGGTGATGCTGACTTCAACATGATCTTTTAATGCATTAATATGACGGATTGTTATAGATCATATTACTAGAGTTGTAATTACATCTCTGAACAGTTTTCTGTAATTTTTTTACACTCATGACCAAAGATTTTATTATATCTGGGCTCAGAAACAAGCAGGGAAGCAGATGTGGTGTAAACCCTCTGAATTCCCAGCCTCTGCCTTATCAACCGTTCCCACATTCGGCCCCTGAAGGCGGAGCCACAGCTGGAGTCCATCGCGCTAAAAGCTAAAGCTGTGTTTGGACCAGTTCATGGGTTTAAAGAATGATAGTTTAGGACAAACAGCATGAATAGACTAATATAATAATGTTTAATAGCAAAGAATCAACAGAAA